TCACACCCCCCCCCCCCCCACACACACACACACACACACTCTCTCTCTGTTGTCAGAGTGACCAATCAGCAATTTTCCCATGATGCATGTCTGTTTTGTCGCCCCGTGTGCCTCCATTCTTGGTCCACTCCTGTTTTTCTCTAAAGAAAGTCAGCCTCTTGCGTCTGGAGCTGAAACACCAGATGGCGTCATCGATCGGTGACGTCCACAGGGAAACTTTTGGCCACTGAACATTTCTGTGTTGGAGATGATGGTGCGCAGACCTGTCCAGCAGGTGGAGCTGTTCACCTTTCAGCAGCATCAGCAGGACACCACTGCTTCTCTTTGTGTCTGTGAAGTTGTGACAGAGTCAAATTTTCTGTGGTGTGTTTGTATCAGATGTTTAATAAATCACTTGAGCATCGTGATGATGTGTTGCTGTGAAGCAGAGGTACTACGCACGTTTCTGTTGTGCACATGCACTGTGATGCCTGCTCCTGCAGCAACTGGGCCAAGCACATGATCAGTGTTTTCATTTTAATAGGTGTCAGTTATTCTCAATATAAACACGCAGTGAGGAAGAAAACTCAGTCAACATGTCGTTAGACCACAAAGCACCACCCCGTCAGCTTCAGTCATTTCAGGCCATGAGTGAAACCTGCTGTGGAGTGACCCCGTGTGAAGAGGTTGGATGTTCATGAGCTGCTGCTGCTCTTCGTCAGCTCTGTGCACCGTGAGAGAAACGTTACCTTTTCATAAAGTTGTTTCCCAGAGGTTGCTGCATATTTTACAGCAGGTATTGCTGTCGTTTATCCAGCTTTAAAAATCACATCCATTTTCAAACCACTGAGGTGGAAGAAGTAGTTGGATTCTTGAGTACAAGTAGAAGTCTCAGTTCACTTTATTTCTATATCACGAATTCACAACAGCAGTCGACTCAGCATATGACATAAGCGGGTCGAGACCTTACACTTATAAGGAAAAACCCAACAAATCCCACTTGAGCAGCACTCGGCAACAGTGGGGAGGAGAAACTCCCTTTAACTGAAGAAACCTCCAACAGACCACGGCTCTTGGTGGGTGGCCTTCTGCCTTGACCGGTTGGGGTGAGTGGATAGAGGAGAGATTGTACAGGTTAGTTGAAAGTTACTTATAATGTAGAATTGTGGTTCAGTGGGTTAAGCAGTCATTTCACAACCAGAGGGTCTGAAGTTCAAATCTCAGTACCTGCAGTCCACATGTTGAAGTGTCCTTGGGCAAGACACTGAACCCCATGTTGCCCCCAGTGGTTAGAGCTATCGGTTGAGTTGGCGCCGCAGATGGCTGCCATTGGTTCTGTACCGGAAACAAATTCCTTGTGTGTAACATACTTGGCCAATAAAGGTGATTATCCCTATCCTTGAAGTACCATCAGTACCAGTACTCGTCCTGCAGAACGGCCCGTGTCCCAGTAATGTCTCTGATACTGGATCATAGTGACTAATTACTGTGTCCATCATTTTAATGCTGCAGCTGGTAAAGGTGGAGCTGGTGGTAACTACCTTATATACTTATACTGTGAAGTACTTTACATCCTGCTGGGTAGCTGGTAGATTTCCCACTGGGATCAATAGAGACTGATGGTTCTACTGGGTTTGGTTTGATTCATCTGATTCTGGAACTGAAGTTATCAGGTACATGTCTCTGACATACAGTGAATTCAATGTACGAAGTAACAGAATGTGGAAGTACTCATGTAAAGTACAGGTATTTCAGAACTGTACTTGAGTAAATATACTTAGTTACTCTCCACCAGGGGAAACATGGCTTGTAGCTGTGTCTGAGCCTTCGACCCACACGATGCAGGCGCATCATTAGTCAAATACCACTCATCGGTTTATCATAGATATTGTAGTAGTTTCCATAGTGATAATGATCAGCGTCGTCTTGTCCCCCAGGCCTAGTGTCCACCTGTATGAGCTGCAGGCAGTTTGAAACCTTTTGCCACATTCCTGTAGCTTCTGTTAGTGTTAGCCTCAGGTGAATGAAAGCAGCAGCTGGCCCCTGAATATCAGTCAGCAACACACACACAGTGTTTCTGCTGCTTTGTGGAGAAATCAATACATCAGTGTATGTTTTTATAGTGTGTGGTGTTCAGGTGCTGCCCTTGGCTGCAGGTTATTGGAGGCACTTGCGCTGGCTGTGTGCAGTGTGTGTGATGTGTTTGTGTGTGAAGGTCTGGTTGCTCTGAATATTGAACTCTTCTGTGGTGGAATCCCCTGAATATCTGGTACCTTTTAACCAAACTGTCCTGTCTTCATTGCTCACTGTGGTTCAGAGGCTTTGTTCCAAACACCAGTGAGCCCTCATCCTCAGTGTCTCCATGGTGAACTGAGCAGAGACAAAGGAAATGGTGCTATGATGTGATGCTGCAGCTCATTCCCTCTGTGAGCCAACATTAAGGTGAAGCTCCTGTTGTATCTCAGAGATCCTGGCCTGCAGGGGTGGAAGAAGTACTTGCATCCTTGTAGTAAAAGCAGAAATACCACAGTGTAGAAATACTTTGTTACATGTAAAAGTGCTTGGTTACTTTCCACCACAGCTGGTCTGAGACCTGGTTCACCCAGGAAACACTGGACCACGTCTCTAGCGTTAAAAAGATGAAACCCAAACACTTACATCCCCGGTGAGATGAAGCAGGACTTGATGGAAACCCTGAACCCTGAGCAACCAGCCTGAGACAATTACACAATATATCCAAGAACTTCACACCTAGTTTGACTCATGTTCTGCATCCTGAAGAGATGTCCTTCAGTTTTTGGTCTCGAGGTTTTGTGTGACACAACAGGAGTGTCACTGAAATTTTCTTTAAATATATTTATATATAATATGTGCATATATATATGTGTGTGTGTGTGTGTGTGTGTATAATCTGAAAAACATTTAGTTTATGACAGTAAACTAAGTAAAATCAGCTGAGAAACAATTTGTGGATAAAACAACCTGACCACATTTTTTTCTTCTTTGATAATTTGGTAAATAAAATTTCTGGCAAATCAAAACCTCGATACAAAAATCACAAAAGTCACCATGAATGAATCTTACACATCGATTTGTAGCAGTCAGTCCAGTGTCCCCCAAAATATAAAAGAGAGGCATTCAGGAGGAAGAGCTTTGTCTCCAACAGACCTGTACCGTGTTCATTGTCACATCACACGGGGCTCTGATTTGTTTTACATTTCATCTGGAAAAAATCATTGTGTTGTTTGCTGTAAGATTTGATATACGCGCAAATACTTAACATAAATGAAGTCCTGAACATGTGGTGTGGAAAATATCCACCACGGTCAGACCGAACAAACATGAGCATCAGGACGTGAAGCCGAGTGAATTATAATTGTGCTGTCAAGGGATAAAAATGCAGTTGAGACTGAGCTGATATAAAAACATCTTTCACTCCCACTAGAAGCAGGTAAACCAGACAGGAAACTGCAGTGAGGGCTGCACGGACATGTCTGGCTCTGTGTGTGACGCTGGACTGGGCTGGCAGACATCAAGTCAGTCCAAGTAGTGGTGAAATGTTAAAAGCTTCGATTAGGTTTCAGGACATAACATCACAGAGCTGCAGTGAATAAGTACACGAACATACATTTCCACAGGATGCTCGTGATTCTCAGCAGAGACTAAATTGTCTCTGCAGCAACACAAAGACAATGTCAAAATATCTGTTTCCACAACAGGACAAAGATAAACACGCTCACCACGCCTGAAGCAGGAAACCTGAGCCTTCTGAGTTCTTCGATCAAGGATGAGTCCGGCCCGGCACCACAGTCAAATCAAATCATATTTTATTTGTATAGCGCCAAATCACAACAAAAGTCATCTCAGGACACTTTACAAAGTAAGGTCTAGACCTTACTGTTATCACTATTATTACATAGGGAAAACCCAACAAATCCCCCTTGAGCAAGCACCTGGCGACAGTGGGGAGGAAAAACTCCCTTTAACGGAAGAAACCTCTGACAGACCCCGGCTCTGGTGTGCAGCCTTCTGCCTCGACCGGTTGGGGTGAGTGGATAGAGGAGAGACAAAAGAAGAAAAGCAACAAGACACAACAAACAATCAAACACTGGGCAGGTTGATGTGGCCGGTGACTGCTCATCAGAGATGTAGAGCTCCAGAGCCAGGGCAAACAGTCTCTGTTTGTAGCCTCCAAAATGGCACTTGGTGAATAAATGATGATTATGGGTCTGTGAAACCCTTAAAACCCTGCCATAGATTTTGACCCAGTTCAGTAAAACTAGGCAAACTACTCATCAAACTGTTTCTTTGGTGAGAAGTTCCTGCAAATCAATTTTGTGCACCAAGCAGTAAAATCCCCCTGGAGAGTCCTGGCTTGTTGTGTCTCATTGAACTGAATACTTTCATTGGCTAAAACATCTGTCAGTCATCTGGCTGGGCACAGGAGGAGGTTAGGCTGTGGATTGTGTTCTCAATGCTGTGAGAGGCTGACTCACTCACAGAATAAACTCTAATCCCTTATTTGTCATTCCACGTTTAAGGCAGAAGTTGTCTGGTCGGCCATCTTGAAGGACGTCCAAAGCTCTTATTCCTGCTCTGAGGAGCGAGGCGACCCCAGAGCATCATTCACACAGGCCTTTATGAACCAACACGTCTCTTTATCAGAAATCAGCTGGTAATCGGATGCTTCAGTGATGAATCAGAGGAAAGGATATCAGGTGAATCCCGATTCCCCTAACTGCAGCCTCGTATCTCTCCCACCTACATAAGATGTCAGAAGAAACTTTGGGAGAGGAACGAAGAAACACATTTTAAGCCTGGGCTCAAACCCGGAA